CGCCTCTCTTCTCTGTCCAGACCTGCAGCTCGTGGGCCAGCTCAGGCACCACCAGGAAGGTGCGCCAGCCTTGCCGCTTCTTGGACTTGAGGATGTCCCCAAAGATGTGGTCACCCATGTAAAGGATGTCCTTGCCCTTCACGCCCAGCAGGTCACACACCAGGTCCGAGGAGCCTGCAGGAGACAGAGGTGAGGGGACAGTGATGGCACATCCCCTGCTGCTGCCACTCAGCTGGCCAGATGCTCACCACCGGAGTAGACTGCACAGTGCTGGAGAGGGCCCGTGTATGTCCCGATGCGCAGCTTCCCTGTGTCCTGTGGGACAAGGGGACAAGAGGACAAGGGGGGAGGGGCCAGGGGGACACACGACACCATCACCCATGCTCACTCAACAGTGAGCCCACTTGCCACATCCCCCCACCCTGGGTACCCACCGTGTTGACTTGGCGCAGGACAGTGCCTTCAGCGAAGAAGAGCGGCTTGCGGGTGTCCACCACGATGAGGTCAAAGTAGGAGCGCCAAGGGCGCTGGGGGGTTCCAACCTGCAGGTAGGGGTCGGGAGGGGACCAGCAAGGGGCTGCTGATGGCACATTCCACCCTTCACCCACCCCAGGGACAGACTCACCTTATCCCCATCGCTGAAGTCAAACAGGTAGGACATGATGGCCTGCAAGGACACCTTGTGTCTCCACCACTGTCCCCAGGGAGAGCAGAGCCCTGCCTGTGCTTTGCCCTCCCTGAGACAGGTAGGACTTGAGGGGGGACACAGAAATACTCCCTACTCACATCAGTGTAGTTGTAGTCACTGTTGGTGGCCAGAAAGACCTTCCCCACCTCCCTCATGCGGCTCAGCAGCAGCGGTACACGGGGCTGGTGAGGGGCAAGTCAGCACTGGGGAGGGAGGTGGGGGGGGTGGGCATGGGGACCATGGGGGGAGGGGGAGTCCCACTGGGGGTCTGCAGACACTCACACTTCCCCCAGCAATGTCCCCCCCCAGCCCCCCGCACTCACCGAGAGGTGGACATGGTCCATGGCTTCACGCACATCCTGGAACATGCTTTGGAAGGACATGAAGAGGTTCCCATGCTTGTAGCCAGTGTCACAGCTGCAGAGGTCAGGAAAAAGGTGTGTGGGGGAGTGTGTGTCTGTGAAAAGTCTGAAGACCCACC